TATATAAGCGCCCTGGCAAACGGGCATCCTCAGGAACAAGCAGCCAGTCATTTACTTTACTTTCGCCCTTCCTTTCTAATTTGCCCAATCTTCATTCTAACAGTTCCAAGATATTCAATTATTACAGTCTCGGAACTGACTCAAACTTCATATTCCATTACATTTTCAATTTTCCGGTGAGATGCTGGTTGTTACTTTTTAATTTTATGCTTTCTTTCATCATCATCATCATCATCCTGTGATACCCTAGTGCAACCACACCCACGACCTAACAGATCCTCTTTTCCTGTGTCCGACTAGCAGGATGGGTTGACCGGTTTGGTCCTATCGTAACTGTTATTTGCATTCCATTTCAGCTAGCACCTAAAATTCACTTATGATGTATTTTACAGTCTCATGTCTTTCTCCTCAAAAGAGCGATTTGGTGTTTTCCCTAGTTCTGTTTATTTTCATCTTATATAATTTATTTTTAAGTCTTTGTTTTGAGATGCAATGACAAGAAAATCCGTTTCTCTTTTCAGATGTCCTCTCTGTAATCATGTTCATGACAGTTCATTTGAAATAGTTTCTGTTTGTTTTAAATTCTCTGTGGAAAGTATTCTTTTCTCATTTTTCTTTCTTTGTTTCATTCTACTTTGTCCTAACATTTGTCATCTTTTCATCACTTACGAACAATTTTCAAGATATTTTCCTCGTTCTGTTGTTCATATATTGTAAATTTATTGGTTGACTGATTTGTTCTTTACTTCTTTTTACAATTGGTCTCATCTTTTTTTGTTGTTGTTGTTGTTGTTGAGCCATGTGTAGAGTCATTCACTTTCTCATCCACTGATCGAATTAAACTCCTCATTTGTGGTCTAGGAAGTCTCTCGTCTATAATAATATTATTAATTTTTTAAATTGATTTGTATAGTTTCGTTTCTAATACATTTTTCTTATTCTTCTGAGATACCCTTATTTTCTTAATTTCCTTCTGATTATGGAGTCAATTTCGAGCATTCGAATTCTTTATAGGCGCTATGTGGAATTATTACGTTTTATTATTTGACAAGTCAATGCTTATCTGATTTTGCGTATTTTCCTTGTATTATTATTAATATTATCATTATTGTTTTACCTGCCTGAAAACAGTTCTCGATGGGGATGATTAATCTTCCTGTTTTGCATTTTGTCATCTTTATGATCTCTCGCCTGGGAATTAAATTCCGCATCCATCGAAAAGAGTTCTTCTCATGTCTAGCTTAAGAAGTGTGCTGAATCGTTCTCCACTGATACTGTCCACGTGTTTTTGCCTTTTATAAAATTTTTCTGTGGAGTTTTGTTTCTAATATATTCTTATTTATGTAAGTTATATTTTTATTTCTTCCTTTCAATTTGAATCCTACTAAGTAGTGACTTCGTTTTATGTAAAATGCTTTGAATGTATCACGATGTTGTAGTTTAATTCTGTTTGTTGCCACAGATATTCTTTTGTGCTTCACTAGTAGCACAAATTTCTCTATAGTGAACTCAACTTCACGCTATCGCTGTTTCTTGTTTGACAAACAATTTTAGGCCATCCATATATATTAGATGGTTGACTTTTTATGTCGCATTCATGAATTTGCAGCAATAATTGAATAATTATTGCTGCAAATTCATGAATGCGACATAAAAAGTCAACCATCTAATATTAAGTTTAGTGGTATGAACAATGCTGTGAAGAAAAATCTCTTCAAAAGATCCTTTTTTTGAAACTTAGACTTCCTTGTAATTCACTTTACATATAATTATGTATTAATTTTATGTTTGTATCGTTAATATTGGACATTTTAAGAAATTCGAGAATCTGATTTTCGGAGATAATGTACGCTTTCTTTTCCCGCCAATCTACCCCATTGCAATATTTTTCCGTTCTGATTTGCTTTTCCACAAAATCACATGGCAAGTTGGCCTCTCCCGTTTTCCGCTTATTTTTTTCTGATAATAATCCTCCGTTTTACAGGAAGTTGTAAATTTTCTCTATTGTTCGTCCAGTCAGAAATTTCGACATCTGAGATAGTCACATGATCAGTTTAGAGCTGTTCACTAGGGTACTTTTTTCAGTTTCTCTTTTGGATAAGGCTTGTTCTGTCGCTAACCCTTCTCAGCTAACGCTTTTCCGGGCTATTTTTATTTTTACTATTAATTTGCTTTTAATTTTCACCACATTACTCATTTTGGTGCCGCCATATTTCATTCAAGACTTTCTTAAAACTATTTGTAGCGTATTTTTTTTATTTTATTTTTTTTCGTTTATGTCATTGTTATTCTAGAAAGTGTTTTGGTATGTATTGTAAAATATATTTTATCAGTTTAGTTTTTCAACACGCTTAACTCCTCATTTTCGCGTTTCTTGTAAGTTTTGAAATTTGTCTCCTTGCACTGATTTCCCAATTTGTTATTCACGTTGGCCGTTGTTTTCGCTTGGTTTATAAAATTTACTCATGACATCGATTTTACAGGTTTTTTTTTCTTTTTGTTTCTAAGGAATGCTAATGCAGTGTTTCTTTCTTGTAATGTTCGTAGCATCTATGCGCTTTTGCTTTCTTATTCTGATATGTTTTCTGTTTCTGCATATGATATTTGCCTTAAATTTTAACTTGATAAATACTCCTCCATGTCCACTTTTGCTTCTTCGTTCACGATGTGTCTTCTGTTCATTGATTCTTCTATTAAATGATCTTCTTTTAACTTTATTTTCTTCTGCATTACCTGAAGTCCCGTGTCCAATATGCAGTTTCTTTGTAAGATCTAGTTGACGTGATTGGCTTAATGTTTCTGGAAACTCTTTTTGCCAAATTGTTGATCTCTGTTATATTAGATATTCAAGTAGCTATATATTGCTAGCATCATCCTTTTATTTCGTTTTTTTTTTTGCTCAATATTCACATAATATTGTTCTTCTAACATATTAATCGAGGAAGTACAAGTAAGAAAAGGGGTCAACAGTCACAGGACGACTACCAGGCCCGTATCATTTGACACGGAGGAAAAAACTGTTATTTATGTCGTACATGTTAATCACGTTAACAGAAATTGTGTTTTAGAAATGAAGGCCTAAGTTCACTCCAAATCCTATGTGACAATTGCAGTCAAGGGTGAGTATAGATATAGTGGTTATACCAAATCATAATAAGGAAAACTATGTAGATTTATCGGCCTTTATTACTCAAATTATCCCATATCAGTCTTAAAATATGAGTTAAGATGGATTTGCAGAAAATCGAATAAATCTTTTGGAATGTGTATCCTCCAAAAGCAGGTATATTCTTTGAATATTAACACCAAATAAACAAGTGACGTCTACTTAGTTTTTACATCCTATTCATTCTGTTTTTCTTTTATTGGGACACCGACTCCTGATATCTGACAAAACACAGCGATTGTCACAATTCACAGGAAAGAAGAAAGATATGAACAAGTTGATGTAGAGTGCTGACTAGTATATTTTGGTGGTATGTAGATATACAAAGCGAAGTGAGAGCTACAAAGACAGACTGATAGTTGTCTAATGAAATAATATTAAAAAAAAAAAAGCAAACAATAAATCTCACCATGCTGTGGCCACGATATATGTTAACATTTTTTCCTGTCTTTTACTGATTTCATATTCGTTTAACTGCATATAAAACTGTTGCTTGTTGGCGTATATGTTTAAAGCGTTTAACTGCATGTGATCTGTGTATTTCTTTTCGCTTGAACTTTCTCCTGTTAAGGCCGTCCATTTTGCAATCTCATTGTTATGCTTTTAAGTGGTGCGGATAATGCGTTTTGGTTTTATCATTAAACGAAAAGAAAGACTCAAGTGAGCCATGTGCTTCAAAAGCTCAAATAACGTTGTTACTCATTGGAATAGGCTGACGCTGGCGACTAAAACATTTGAGGTGTGTGGACGTGTGTTTAAGACTGCGTATTTCTATGCAGTCATTCTCTCCTTGCCCTTAATTTCAGTAGGGATGTGCGATTTCATTTTATGTGTGAGAGTAAATGGATAAAAGTGTTTCTATCTCTGTTCGTTCATAGATACTTTATCCGTGTCCCATACAAACATAACGGAAACAGGATATTATAATAATTATTAGTTTCTCTCTATGTTTACATTCACGTGGCAGCTCAGAAAAATATTAATGGATCTTGACGAAATTAGATGAATTGTTTCATTAAGATTTATAAGCTGAATGTTTAAAATAATTTTATATAATGAAAACAATGGTTTTGCCTTATTTTTTTCGGGTGGAGAAAAAGACAAGTCAAAGAACAAAAGAAGCCTCCTCCAACAAAACAAATATTATGTGAAATGTTGACATCATCTACGAAACTGTTCATCTAAAATAAAGTGCACTAATGTCATCATAATCAGGTTTTTAGTGGCATTATAGCAGGCTTGAGATTTTACGTTATTTATTGGTGAAAAATTGAAATAAAACTTACTTATTTGTGTCCTGGTTTAAAAGAGTACTATCGGTTTGCTTGAATGCTTAGATGCTTATCTATGGGCAAGTAATTTTATAATTACATTTAGAATATTCGTAGAACCCTGAATGTAATGGATGTGATAAATATTTAAGTGCATAGTCGTTCAAGAAGAAAAAAAAACACAAATATCAATGGTGGTAGATAGAGAGATAACGACAGAAAGAGAGCAACAGATAGAGAGGGAATCAAGTGGAAAGAGTGAAATAGAGGAAAAGTGAGATAGAGAGAGAGAGAGGGGAAGAGAGAGAGAGTTATCGCAATATAGAAAGAGTGCGGTAGAAATAGAGAGTGACATAGAGAGATTGAGAGGAGAATACACTCACATATGCATTGTAACTTTCTACGTGTATGCACGTTCAAATGAGTTTAGTCACTAAGCTTAGCAAAATTACAAATGTGGTACGTCCCACGAGGCTAGAACTCACAATCAAGGATCTGCATAACGAACTTAATACCACATACATCTTGTGGATGAGTGAGTATATGTAGATTTGCGTGCGTGAATGCATGCGTGCATGCATGCGCGCATGCGTGTGTGTAGGCCTATACGGGGTGGGGTGCTAAAAAATTATCTGTCTAAGTTGTTCCCACCAAAATTTTAAGTCATTTGGTTAGGTTCTGGGTAAGTGAGTTGTTCCGAGAACTTTTCAGCACCTCTTATGTGTACGTGGAATGGTAAGGAAGAATGGTGAACGAGGGTAAGGAAAAGATTATGAATCAGTGGAATGAAACGCAAACGGGAAAAATAACGAAAATGAAATTGGCAAAGACCTTTTCGAACAGGTTAACTTAAAAGTGCTTTCATCTCCCATTATGCAGTTTACAACATAGTTCTTTCAGCAAAGTAAGCACTATTAATATAAAATTAAAATTTAATTTACTTATTTTTGTTTTATATGTAAATATTTTCTAGTCTCATTTAGATGTAAAATCTACAATAGAGATTTCAGGCCGAAATGTGATAAGACAATATCCTATCTCTCAGTTGCTACAATAATCTATCTATCTATCTATCTATCTATCTATCTATCTATCTATCTATCTATCTATCTATTGTGGACAATGGAATCAATACTGCATGATGACTGTCGGTTTCGCACCTCAAGTGGTTTTTACACTATGGTCTGAATAGAACATTAGGCGTGAATTTGTTTGTATCTAAAAACGCTTCGATATTTAGCACGCAACAAAATTTAAGCAATATATATTGGAATCTAATGCACACACACACACACACGCACACGCACACACACACACACACACACACACACACACACACACACATATATATATATATATATATATATATATATATATATATATATATATATGTATGTATGTATGTGCGTGTGAATATGTGTGTGTGTGTGTGCATATGTGAGCGAGGAAAGAAATGAAAGAAATGCCGGTTACAATTTTATATAGAAAAGGCAAAAGATACAGGGATGCTTAGCTTTATATTTACATTTTTGACGGTCTCTGTTGATGCATAATATAATCGATATCATTCAACTTTCTATCGCTTATTTTTATTATTATCGATATTGTTTTTAAAAATCAAAAATGTTTAAATTTTATCAAGAAAGGAGATATATTTTATACATTGGTGAAAAATCATCTCGTGTTCGAGTACGACCACTTCCATCAATTTAATATTGATTTCCATGACACTGCTGATATCTGCAATGAGCAACCTACATTTTAAGCCAAAGGTTTTAAAAGTAAGCTTACCGCTTCTGAATGACTTCTATGACTTGTAATACCAGTTGGGTCCACTCGCTGACGTACACACTTTGTTACATAGGTCGCAAATGAAATCAGATTGTGCATCACAGTGATAGACTGTGTTGAGGTGACTTGTGAGCCTGATCAAGCCAGCCTTTGTTATACGCAGACATATTCTACACAGATGAAAGTCTTTTTAATATCTCTTTACTTGGAAGGAGCTTATATTCCCTATGTAACGAGCAGCTAATTTTATTTCTGTGTATTCAATCCTGTCATTTTCAGTTGTTACTACTAATCGTCAGAAGTGTCTTCCACGTAGAAATTCCAAATGCAAAACCCTCCCAAATGCTGGTGTCTATGTCGACATTAATTGGATCCTTGAGACAATTTTTAGATTATTTGAGATTTCACTCCAGACGTTTGCCTTGTCCCAGTTCCCCTAACAGTGTTTGTTTGGGAAATCAGTTATCCTCTAACCGTACTAAGTCACCAGTCCATGTCAGTCACCATTTCAGAAATATGGACACGAGGTTTGAAATTCTTGCTCAACGGTATCGATTATTTTTTATTTTCATGATATTTTCAGCATCTGACAAGCATTTTATGGAAGCATTCCAGACGCAGTATATGCCTGCTACAGGTTGTCAAGGTTTCTCAAACATACAAGAGAGATGAAAGAATACATGCTTGGTAGACTTGGTAGTTGCACTAATATTTGTCTGTGACAATAACCTGCTTTCAAGCTTGCCATATGCATCATAAACATTTGAAAGTCTGTAGATGATTTCTTCAACTAGATTGTTGAATCTGGATAGCGTGATACTAAGAGTAACGAAGGTCTTTTACCCTTGATGTAAATTGATGGAGGAGTATGTCTTTTCAGGAGCTGATTGATGCATGACTTCTGCCTTAATCGTAAGCCCAGATTCATCACAAGCGGCAGGAAAGCAAGCCAAAATGATCTGAAGATCATCTTTTTTTTCTATGTGTACCAACGTCGTTATCGTTAGCAAAGATTATTCAGTAATTCAAGATATTAAAGTTTTAGAAGCACTGAAAAATGAAAGGTTGCATTTATATTCATACATGCATACATAAATGTTTTATATACATACACACATACATGCATACATAAATGTTTTATATACATACACACACATACATGCATACACACACACACATATAAATATATACAGTGCTGAGTGAACCCCTAAGATAATTTTAAAAAATGTCTCTTTTTTCCCCAGATGATCAAAGAATCTTAACTGAATTATATATTCATTAAGAAAAACCTTTATTAAATCAATTACAACCACTTTCAAAGATTTTTATCAAGCTGGAATAAAAATATTAATTAAAAATTAAGATGTCCAAAAGTAAGTGAACTGTTACAGTTAATATTTGGTGATGACTCCTTTTGATATTAAAATGTCAACCAGTCTTAAGTTTTAAGAAGTTTCTGGGAATAGTGAGTGTCGATTTTTGACCATTCTTCATGGTAAAATTCTCGCAATTGTTCGATATTATATGGATTTCTTGCATGCACTTCTTACTTTCACTTGAATCACAGAAGTTTGACTAGGCTGTTCCAAAACTTGAAATTTCTTTTTACAAACCCACTCTTTTGTGGATTTGCTTTGATGCTTCAGATTATTGTTCTGTTAGAAGTTCGATCTCTGATTTAAACCCAACTTTTGAATTGAAGACAAGACATTTCCGTTCAAATAGCTTGGCATCTTGCAGAGTCCATTGTGCCATCAATGCGCACTATATTGCCTGTTCCAGCTGCAGCAAATCATAATACTCTCATCGCCATATTTAGTATCAAATTCTTTTCTTCAAAAGCCTTATTAGGAACTCACCAATCATACCACATATTGTTCCTCCCAAAAAGCTCTAGTTTGGTTTCATCTAACCATAAAACCTTTTGCCAGAATATTTCTAGCGTATTAATATGAGCTTTGGCATAGTTTAAGCAAACATGCTTGTGCTATTTTGTAAGCAGTGGCTATTTCTAGGCATTCTGCCATGAAGATCGGCATTGTTCAGATTTCGTCGCATTGTAGATGCATACAGATTGATTCCGACATTGGCCAGAGATCCTTGGAGGACCGCAAAGATCACAGCAGGATTTGCCTGGCCTTTCCGAACTAGATGTCTATTTGCTCCTGCTGTTATTTTTCGCGGATGGTCACTTAATTGTTATGCCGTCATGCCAAAGGCCTCCCATTCATAAATAATTTGTTGTACGGTGGAGAAGACCCTATTTTAGACAAAACGCTTTACGTAGGATTCCGTACGACACAATCCAATTTCAGCATTCAGTCATCTAATACATACATATATATATATATATATATATATATATATATATATATATATATATATATATATATATAGATAGATAGATAGATAGATAGATATACTATTTACTACTTAAAATGGAGTAATAGGCATATTTTTGTTCGCACGAAAGTCAATATCTCACTTGAACTTGTGATCCTCTGTCAGTTGACCTTCTTATGGAAAAGGATGAACTAGCATTTGAATTATTTTCAGCCTCATTCTGAAGAGAAGCAGCTTGAGATTTTATAACTTTTAAAGTGATTTTTTTCTATACCAATTTTGTTTTGCTTTTCAAACCTTGCTTTTTTGCACTCACCAACCTATAATTACCACGTGTATTGCATGATAGAATATATGATAGAGAGAGGGCTTAACTGTGTTCACATTTCTCTAATTCAATTATGCTATGTGTTTGTAAATGCATGTGTATATACTCAGACGAACGTGGATTTAGTTGACCATGTGTGTGTTCCTCAGCATACACGCATATGTGCCAATATGTTTGCGTATGTAAATGTGGATGAAATTACAATAAAATCTTTCCAACGTTTCTTCGTCATTAGTGTTAGAATTATTGACTTCTAGTTTCATAAAAAGGCAGAATTTTAAAGAAAAAATAAGAAAGGAAGAAAACTTTTTCGTCTTGATAAATTTTAAAAATACATCATGCTAAACCGATGACAGTGTTTTATCTTCTTGTCTGTTTACGATTGGGTTTTGTCCACAGCAACCTGAACAAAAAAGAAATTACGTCAGGTAAAAATAGTGGGTGACAATAATGACTGCGATATATGAAAATGTATTGTAATTTATATAAGTCAACAAAATTTACTAGAGACTTCGAACTTATAAAAAATAAATGTAAATTATATTTAAGGAAGAACGAATAGTAAACAAAAACTTTCTTTTAAACTTTTCTCTATATATAAATTAAAAAAATACATCCACAAGTATGCAAATATTCAGATGGACAAAAACATTAATGTATGCTTTTTATGTAGAAGTTATTAGATATAGGATTGTTTGTTGGTTGAGAAAGTAGTCGGCATTTGGAGTCATGCGAAAGCCAGGGATTCCAATAATGATTTTCAAAGTAGGCAAGTTTGTCTCGTTTGGAAAACCGGATCGATGCAATCTTACGACATCTACTTTCTTCATTTAACACTATACAAAGCTCATTTCATTTACTTTATCACAACTAAAAGATTTAAGATAAAAGTAAAAACAAGCAAAATTCAATAATAATAATAGTAATAATACTAATGGTTAACAATATTTCATTTAATAAAAATACAATGAGTATATTACTATCAATTGCCACTAATACTAACAGTGTAGAAAGAGAAAAAAACAAATGTGGCACCAAAAGAGATAGTGATGGCTCTAAAAGGTTAGATTTGATCTTATGGCTCAGTCAGTGTGAGGAAACGTCATAGAGGCGAGAGTTCGAGTCTCTTTTATTTCTGTGTCTCACTGAGGAAAATTACGCTAAAAAGTAAGTAAAAATTAAGATGATTTCTGATTGATATTTTCATCTAATTAAAAATAGAAATATAGGACAATACACTTTATGATTGCATTAAACGTATACTTATACACATATATGAATTCTTATGAATTTATAGATAATATATATATATATGTCTGCATGTATGTATGTATGTATGTATGTAACTAGCTCGCTCGCTATGTATAGGTAGATAGTTATGTGTGCTTAGATATTTATTGGAGTTAACCAAAGTGAAGAACTAGAATACTGCCCCTTGTGAAACAATTCCACAAACCGCAACATGACAGCGGGTGCCTCTATGCATGAAAATTTGTATGTATTGTTATTTTGATATCTTTTTTCTGATTCCTTGTATTTTTATCCACTCCTTGTTCTATTTTTCTTCTCTACTTCTTCTCCTTTTCTAATGTTAACATAATCATCATAATTCCACGAACCTCACACACCAATTCCGATACCAGCGTTCATATATCTCCCCTACCTTTTATAACTAGAATCGCGTCCCTGCCTTAGAATTATTCATAGCTGCGTGTCGCTATCTAGCCAGGAGGTAAGTAAGTTGTCCCCACATCTGTGATTGTAGTCTGAGTCCAGCTCGGAAAAATATAGATCAAAAGACAGATTGTATCCGCATTAGAAAGAAAAAATGCTGCTTGCTCAGTGTGCCAATATTTCGAGGCTTACCAAAGTGCATATCTATCTATCTATCTATCTATCTATCTATCTATCTATCTATCTATCTATCTATGGCCACTTGAGATACAGAGATAGTAACAATCATAAAATGAATAAAAATGACCTCAAACAAAACAGCAAATTAAAGATAACTTGAATGGATTAAGAAGTGCTTAGCTTCCTTTTTAAAATACAGCGTTAAAGAGGACAAAAATAAGTGAATTTTAATACGAGAACTTTTCAGCCTGACCCACTTCCCAGAATGTTTTCAAATGACCAACTAATGTAAGGTCTTCTTGGTCGGACATCTGCATAATTTGGTGGATTAGAATTATGTTGATTTAAATTAATCATTTTTTTAAAAGTCAATAACGCCTGTTTTTGTTGTATATTCGCTTTTTTAATTTTAAAGATACAATTTTCTGTTTGTAACTAAAATTTATTTTCAAATATAAACAATTAGCAAGGATGATATTATTTTATTTTGTAAAATGTGATTTTTTTTATAAATGTTCGTATTAGCCGACTACCCGTCCTACAGACAGATAAAAGTCAATTGGCACAGAAGTTTTCTTATCTGTATATAAACAATATTTCCAGCAAAACATCTATCTTCTAATATTCTTTTTTCATTATGCTAAGTTCACTTGAATTTCCTATTTTGGACGTAGATACGTAGAGCAGACCATAAGGGAAATATTTGAAGAATTTTCTAATGTTTATTATGAATAATAATAATAATAATAATAATATAATAATAATAATAAACTACAAACAATCGGTATTCAAAGATACCTGGAACCTACAGTAGACTGGATGATTCCTTTATTCAGCAATAAAGGAATCCACAAATTCAAAAGGGAATTTCAAGTAGGTGAAGAAGTGCAAAAAAAAAAAAAAAAAAAAGAAACAAAAACCGTAATACGCTTACTGCAACAGCAAGAACCTAAAAAGAACATAAAAGCAAATACAATGTACTAAATGAGGAAACAATGACAAGATAAGCCTCTTCATGTTCAATACTTTGCCCGTACCAAATAAGCTGATGCAAACAAACTCCGTACCTATTAGTGAGTATGTGATACATCGATATGGTGTATCAACTGAAACTCTGTAGTGAGAACGAGCCTCACTGTATTCGCCTTACTTCTTACCTTGTGCCACACAGTAAATAACTATGATCCACGTTGGTATATTTATCCAACTTCCCTATTAAAGCATGATGTGGCACAAGGTCGCATGCATATCGGCCAAGTGGATAAAAATGAGCCTGAGACCACTGTCATGCTGGCGTCGATATTACACGATTTCTACTTTTCTTAGTGCAATGAGTAATGTGTTTCCGCATGGTTGGAATTCCCAGGACCAAGTGCCTTCTCACATCTCAAATGACGAGAGAACTGACACTAGGCTTTTCATTCTTGCTGGTTTTGTTCCTGTGATGTAAAGTGGCGATGCACGGCCAAAATTTCGGCTTACGTGAATTTATAAAAGATATAACTCTATCACTGTATGATTTTTCTTTTCTAATTAATTTGAGAAAAAAAAATTCAATGTTTTCAAAATAACAGATTCTAAATAAGAATATTTTGAGTCACATTTTGATTTTACTTACGAAATTTTTACCTACTATGTAGATTCTTTGGTTGAAAAACGGAATACAGGTTCGATTCTTGTGGGGATATTTTCTCGATTATTGTTGTGGGGATATTTTCTCGATCTTTAGGCAGATAATGATTACACTGTAAGAAAAAAACAAACAAAAAAACACTGGCGTCTATTCAAACAAGTGTATCCATTAAGTATAACATTTATAGCAATAATAAATTATCCAGTAATTACTTAAAAACAATTTTGTTTACATTTTGGGCTCTAAAATAAAGTTAACCGATATAGACTTCGAAATGCTCCAATGAAAGATGTGCATTTATTAATTACATTTGAAAGCCTCGCTTTGTTATCATGATTTCTCGTGGTAAGGCCAACTTAGTATCAAAATAGTTTCACCCTTGCAAAACACAAACAAAGAGCAGATATGCGTTTTCTTTAGTGGAACTTCTCGATCTCTAGGCAGGTAGACATTAATTTAGTCTGTTCGAACACGCGGACCCATTAAATATAATGTTTATAACAATAAGGAACTTATTAAATTATACATTTTATGAAATACTATTTTCTTTTTAAGAAAATCATTTAGCACAATTATTGGCATTTCTTGAAATATGTATTGAAGCATTGAAAAATATTTTTCCTCATTGTTTGAATTTCATTTAACGGTTACTAAATACAGAGAACAAATGATAATGAAAAGCAATCATATTCAACAGGAAAAAAACGATTAAACTTTCAAAATAAAATGTAAAAACAGAAAAATTTTATTCCATAAGACCAACTTCAGCCGCAAGGACTGCTTCTATGTGACTACGGAAGAAACTTTATGACTGCAGAGTTCTTCTGGAATATGTACGGTCACTCTCTCGATTCATAACAGCCCTTCAGAGTAGGTGGTGGTTTTGAACTTGAGGCTCCATAGGACGAGATGTGATGGCATGACATTAGCTTTCGTTGTTCACAACTCCAAGAATCATTAAAGACGACGGGAATTTCTTATGAATCATCGCCTGTTTCCGACGGAGTTCCTGCAGAGGTACTTGCCGTTGTTTCTGATAATCTGGATATCAATGAATTGCTGTCGTTGACGGTTAGTTCCACACATATGATATACTTTTTCATTTCCTGTGTCAGACCTGAAGCTGTCATGTTAATGTTCCGCATAAGCTAAAAAGAGAAAAGACAATGGTCAAATTAGAGAATACATTAGCGGCACACTGCATATTTTGTAAACGCTGAGGCTAATTATAGTACCTGATAAGTTTTTATAGGTTTATTATAGTACCTCATGAGTTTTTATAGATTAATTATAGTATCTTATAATCATAATTATAGTAGCATATAAGTTTTTAAAAATACGTTCTACGATCCTTCTTTTTCAAGAACACCTAAAATTGACTATATACTTAAATTTATTATTATGTATTTTGTTAAACGACGTTCATGTTTGCCTAATTTGATGTATAGTAATATTTGTGGTTCAAATTCAGTTGAGAGCAACAACTTTGAATGTTGATTTTCAAGGCAAGCAATTCTTGTACACGTTGAAGTTTTGATACAACGAAATATTTTTCGTATCAAGGAGTCAGATATTGTACTGGATTCACTTCAGATGATGTCGGAATAGACAGAGAAGAAATATGTTGAGGGGCGATTTCTTAGCCAGAAGAGGAGGTCCGCGATTCATCTGTTGTCAGTGGTGACTCCGATAAATTCACGTGGTCGGCCCAACCTTGCTTTGCATGCGCGCTTGTATACCACAAGCAAAAATTCGTATCTTTTCAATTTAAAAGGTTAAAAAGTTACGTTAAAAATAGTAGTAAACACAGATATAAAATAGCTGTTGTAAGAAAAATCATGATTAATCGAGTTAAATAAATTTCATCCTCGGACACATTTTAAAAAAAAATTCATCAAAATAAAACAAATACTTATCAACACATATCCCCTATAATGTCGTGGTGGAACAAATAAAATTAGTTTTAATAATTCTTGAAAAAATTACACTCTCAACCATCTTATTATAAACAAAGATAAATTCACCATTAAATTATTCTAGCTTAATCAGATGAAACTATCTCTAAACATGATGAAAAAATACATTAAAAATATAATTCCCCAATACATATCCGTTAATGATCCCAATAAATAGCTTAGATTTATTATTTCTTTCTTTCTTTTTATGTGCCATGTCCTTTCCTTTTGTAGGCGATCATGGCTTTCCACCTCCCTCTATCCCTTGCAGCTCTTAACAAGTCCCTTCTCTCTGCTTCCTCCCCTAGACTGCGTTCTGTCATCCACTTGCTTAAATCCGCCAGTAATGTCACGCGTTGTTTTCCCTTGTCTCTCTATCCATCTATTCGACCTGTGAGTATCAGATTCTCTAGGCCTTCCTTCCTCATTATGTCCCAGAAACTTCAGCTGCTTCTTCCTGATATTAAGTATAAGCCTCCTCCTTGTTTGCAACCTCTCTAAGATCTCATCGTTGATCACACGCTCGGTCCATGATAACCTTAGCATCCTTCTGTAGCCTCGAGTCTCTTTTTCATCTTTGAGGAAATCGTCCAACATTCGCTGCCATAAAGAAGGACAGAAGTCAAATAACAGTTCAGTATTCTTTTCTTTGTACTGTCTCGCAGTACTCTGTCCAACTTTTGGAATGTGTCCTTGGCCATCCCAATACGCCAACGGATATTAGTGTCGCACTTACCATCCTCTGTCAAGACGCTTCCCAGGTATTTAAACTTTCACGTCTGCTTGATTCCCAACCTTCAGATTGCATTTCGGGTTGATCCTCTTAATGACGACCAGGCACTCCGTTTTCTTGTAGTTTATGCTTAGTCCCTTCTTCTCACTGTCCGTCGCTACCTTCTGTAGGAAATTTTGTAATTTCATTTCCGATTTATAATTTACTACAAATATATTGAAGCATCTAATCTAATCATTATCAATAACACAGGACCTCAATAAATATAAAAATAAATATAAAAACAATATTGTTTATGATTTCTCAGCTTCTTTGGGAGATGTCATCTTTAATATCAATAATAAAAAACAGCATTCAGTTCTTATATAGGCCAAACACTACAATCACTTATCGAAACTTAGTGCAATAGGATCACATATAGGCTATCACAAATCAAACAACTAAAATACAACTACTAACATATGAAAATATTAGTAGCTAATGGGAAACTACTAAACACTTATACAGCACTGAGAGAAAGTAAAGACTTAAAATACTCGATTACTATACAAAACAAACAACCTGCTTCAAATACCTTTCAACAAAGGAAACAGTATTTTAAAGTGTACACAAATCATTTAATAAGTGTACGAATTAATAATAATAATAATAATAATAATAATGGCAGTCCCTTCAAAAAGCTATCAAAATACAAGGACCTTGAAATCGAAATTTCAAAAATGTGGCAATCTCTGTTGTAGTTGGAGCCCTCGGATTGATTGGAAAAGATTCCAGTAGACTAATTGAAGGGATTACTTGAAGCCCATGCCTTAAAGAAATACAAAAAATTATTCTCACTAGTACAGCCCACACCTTACGGAGGGCTTTATCTATGTAAAATATTTTAATTTTTTTTTTTGCCATGATGCCATTTCTAACCTTAGGTTTCTGGATGGGACCCGGAAAAAATGTGTACACACCAGAAATCAAAAGAAATAAAATAATAATAATCGTATTATTTTTTTAAAGCGTAAATATGGAATTTTGTTATTTTTACTACTATTTTTAACGTAAATATGAATTTTTCTTTATCTTATTTAGTTTATTTAATTTATCCGTTTGTCTGTTAATGATCTTGATTGACTGAACTAGTTTTCTTATTTTATTCATATATCCCTTAGAAAAACTACGATATTAGTTGTAGATATTTTAAAAGAAACTTTTTTTTCATAGAAAGACTACGATAATTTTTCTTATAATAACTACGATATTAGTTGTAGATAACTTTAAATATTTTCGACGAGTTCAGTGAATAAATAACTGAATATATCGATGAACAAACAAATGAATGAACGAATGAATAAAGATTGTATATAATTGTATGCAAACAAATATGTTATCAACAATCTTGTATTTTTTAAAAATATATAATCTGATAAATTGTTTTCTTTAAATTAATCAATTTACTTAATCTTATTGTCTTAAAAAAACAGTAAACATTATTACTATTTTCTTTCATTATTATTAAATTTCCCAGCAGTGATACATTATACTTCACATAAATTCTGAACGTTATTAACCAAATGTTAACTTTTCTTTTTTCTATTAAAATGTTTAACAATTTCGTTAAAACGACTAGTGATGGTAGCAACAACAATAATATTTTTAATTAATTAACAACTAATATGATTAACAGGAGTAACAACAGTAGAATAAATAAAAATAAGCATATCCTTTTTTTCATAATTATAAATATATAATGTATTATTTAAACATAATGCACTAGTATAATGATGTTTTGTTTCGTTGAATAGCTTCTTGTTACAACGACTTTCTTCTTGAATTCCAATCGCGTCTCTATCTATCAACCCATCTAGGAGAAGGAAAACTCCGTACAACAAACCGCAACTCAAAGTGTTAATCGCCCCTAGGAGTGAATAGCTGTTGCGTTATGAGGTCGGGAATGGCCCTCTACAGGCTTCGGAACGTTGTCTGTAAAAGACTGTTACCCAATGTGCCAGGCAACTGAGTGGAATTTTGGAGCTATGCGTCACTCGTTGGAACAATATGAGAACTAAAAGTCAAACCAAAAAGCCCAGTATGGCTCTTCCAGTGGATAAACAGGGAACACGTTCCTCAGGAGGGAACCTACCTGAGGTCGAAAAAATCTGCAATAGGAACAAACTCCTAGAAAAATAATGAATCATCAGATCCCCACAACCAGAATGATCCAAATGATGGCCCTGTGAATTGTCCAATTATATCCACAACCATTCATCTAAAGAAAGAAAATGTAAAATGGTTTCGTGAGGAGCGCAAACTCGTTATGACTGCATTTAAAAGCGTTGAATTAACCTCAGAAAAATTTCATCATCAAACGTAAAATTTAGGAGAAAAGGTTGACAAGGGTTAGATAGTACATTGACGAAAATAAACTAGCCAATGTA